TTTTCCTTTCACAATATAAGTTGGAGATTTTAATACAAATGACAAAAGTGTGTGAAATTTATTAAATATTAGAAAAATTAGGAGTGGACTCATGTTTAGGATGAGTTCAAAAAACTTTAAATAAATTTAGAAATTTTAAAATAAGTATGTTATTGTCATTTTCGGATCAATCGACATTCCAGCACATTTTTTGGCTTGAGTTTAGGGACAAAGAGCACTAATCTAATCGACGATGTAGAGATTAATGAGTCCATTGTGGAGGACATCGACCAAATGTATGTCGGTTTAGCACTAAATATGATATATTGTATTTAATACATTTGAGTACTGTGATTCATATATGATTTGTATGTGTTGAATCCATTTTTGTCTTTGGATCACGCCTCAAGGGATTAGAGGGTTAGAAATGAGAGAGAAAGAGAGGGAATAGAAGAGTGTCGTGACTTACTCCTCTGGGTATTCCCGAGTTCTTATGACCATTTTTATCTAATTGAAGCATTTGTGAATACATGATGAAAGAGAGGGTAAAAAGTCCCTCTTACTTGAAAAGACATCCCTATTTTTAGAGAGAGATTGTAATGAAGAAAAATTATAATATTAATCCTTCTTTTGCATGTTATTTTGAGCATTTTACATAAGTGAGCTAATGACTCGACTATCTTCAGGCACGTCGATGTAACTGGTCGTCTAGACATCTGTTCGTTTGGACTTCTGGTCATCTGGGTTATTGGCCAGTCATCCAGGGTGGGTTGGTCATTCAGGCGGTCTGTTGATCATTTAGGTTTGGTCGGTCGTCCTGGCTATCGATCAGCCAGAATGTCGATTAGTCGTTCAGGCTAGTTCAGTTATCCAGGCTAAGTCGTTCGTCATGGTTGTCGGTCATCCAGGCTACCAATCAATAGTACAGGTTATCGATCGGTCATTCAGGCTGAGTTGATTGTCCAAACTATCGGTCGGTTGTCCGGGTTGGGTCTATCAACCAAACAAGTTTTCCAAGCAAGTTTAGTCACCAAGGCTGAGTCAGCCATCCAAGCTTGTTCGGTTGTTCAGACTAGATTGGTCATTAAGATTGTGGTATTATATCTATATATTTTTAAGTACATATTTAATTCTTCAATTCTCTTATCTCTTTGAAAGGTAATTGTAAAAAGAATAAGAGCATTTTAATACTTTTTTTTCTTGAACATTGGTAAGCAAAAGTATAAGAAATTCAATGAAAGTTTTTCGAGCATAAAATAAAGTGGAGCTCTCGGTCAGTTTTCACCGTTGTCTTATTTTACCTTTTACTACACATTCTTGTTGTTTATTGCTTGTGGTGCATTTATGGTGACGATAGCTTGTGATATTGGTCATGGTGAAGTGTTTTGTTTTGAGAATTTTTTTTGTTGGTTTGATTTGTATCAGCCGCTTGGCTAAAGTCTTGCACCCAATGTATCTCTTTTGCTCGGTAAGCGGGCGCCTCGGTCATGCCTCACCATTCGTCTTGGCATTACTAAAGCATTGCACCCAGAGTTTCTCTTCTGTAGGTAACGGGTGGAGGAATACTCTTGAGGAAGTAGGATTTGATTTATATTCCTCGGCTGGAATATGGTAGTTGACCAACTCTTACAGCTCGGCTAGCATCTTCGATCACTACAGCTTAATGCATATTGGAAAAGGCCTTCCCTCAATCCCGCACTTCCATCTTCTTTTGGAAACATGTGATGAATTGAGTGAAGGCTCTCGCTTTGTCCCTGGTGGATCTGCAAAAGGGCCTGGAAATGCTTTAAGGCTTGCGTTGGCAAACTCTACCACAAACACCCTCCTGAAATCAGTAAACAAAATGATTACGCCCAGTAGTAATCTATTGAACCACCTGAGAGCTGACTCCCTCAGTGTGGCAAAGAAGAGATAAAATTTTAGCGCGTTGGGATCCTTAACCATCATAAGCTTAACCATCATAAGTTGCCTCAAACGAGGTTATGTGGTCGATCGGAAAGATCCGACCTTTGAAGAACACTAGTGTCAGTATCTTAAATCACTCTGAAAGCTCGGCCTCAGAGATTTGTGAAGATAACATATTCTAAGGATGTCGGAGAGCCTCAATACACTTGAACAAATGTTTGTTGACCAGTATCGAGAGTCCCATATTCTTTCCAAAGCTGGACGGGAGGGGAAGAGAATCATTTGCCATTAAGCGTCGGCCCATCATCTTGAGGTTTTTGTTCTTTTTCCCAGGTCAGTGCATCTTGGATAATATCCAACATTTGATCTTTCGACTCCAAGATTTGCTAGTTTACAAATTCTCTCTTACACTCCATGTTATCAGTGTCTTCGTTGTGGGTTTCTTCTCCTTGGACTGCCCCTCTTCTTGTTTGTCGAATGATCCACGCTTTGTCCGTGAATCACCCTCAAGGAATGGAGCATTAGCAAAGAGAGAAAGAGTCTGAGAGTGAACAATAATGAAAAGTAATTCATTGTGTCAATTATGTCTCATTTATTAAAGGTTTTCTCTATTTATAAAGGAGATGGTGCAATTACCTGAATTTATAGTTTTCCTTTTGATTTAAAGGGGTTTGTACTTGGGTATTTTTGGTATTTTGCATAGGTAAACCTATCATTCGGGTGCTTCTTGGCTCAACTGGCAAGGCTTAATGGGCTTCGAGTCGACAAGATCAGCTCAATCGGTTGAGATCTACTCAGTCGGTTGAGCATGGTAAATATGTATCGTCTCAGCCTATACGACCAAGCTATCGTCCCTTAACCCTTGACGAGGAGCCTTTGGACATCGTTGAGATGCTTGGAGATGCTAGGGGACTGGAGCTTCCCTTGGACTTGCTCTCCTATGGTTGTTAGCTTTGATATCATTTCGCCTCTTTTCTGACTGAGTGGCCCATTCTTGCATCATGTGTTTGTCTTTGGCCTCCTTTACATGGCTCAAACAACTTCACTCGATCAAATAAGTGTGTCTCATAATCTCCTATAAGCGAGTCCTTTTTTGTCATACTCTTTCATTTTGGACAATTAGATCACCTCAGTATAAACTCAGGCACATTTCCAATGTAAACATTTAAAGCTCAAGATCAAACTCACTAAGAAACTCAAAAAACAGATTCATTTAAAGTTCATAAATAAGATTGAATAAATGTTTATAAATACTTATAAATAATGTTGATTAAAAGTTAATTTAAGATTATGAATAAGATGCTTATAAATAATATTGATTAAAAATTAATTTAAGATTATGAATAAGAGCAGTCAAAGCTTAATTTAAATTTCATTTATATTAAATTAAATTTAATTTTAATTTGTAGTACACAAAATAAGATCAAGACTTATTTAGTTGTTCGTTTATTTTACACAATTATGTGCTTATTTTAGTTATATATGTAATAGCTCATTTAATATCTTCTTTATTTTTGTCAACAAGTAACCCATTTATAAGGCCGATAATACTCATTTGATTAGAATGTAAATAGCTCAACAATACTACACATTATTTTACTCATTATTTTATTCAATAAGTCTTATTTAATTAGAAAATAAATTAATGTTCAATAAAAGATTATTTGGATAGAAATTAACTAGCTCAATAATTTAATCTGCTTCATAATAATTCAATTATTATCATATTATTTGAACTAAATTCAGACATGAACTAAACTGGAACATAAACACAAAACTTAATTAAAACAGAAGCTTGATTTTATAAATAATCTCAGGCTTGAACACAACCCCAAAAACTCTATTTGAGATCGAGCTCAAATTTTATCAACAAGCTCAAACTTGAACACAGCCAAGCTCAATTCGGCTCTCGACTCTGTCTGTGTGCCACCCTACTTAAGGCCAACAATAATAATTAATAAAATAAATTTTCACTGTATAAAAAAATAGAATCATTAGGGTTATCCTCGTGCATGTTCCAAAATTTAATGCACTATTTCATTTCTTTCTTTTTTTTTTTTTTTTTTTGGGCATGATGATCAATTGAACCCAATACTTTGCAATAGGGCTATCAAAAAAGCTCGTTATTCGTGAACAGCTCATGTTCGACTCGTTAAATAGCTCATGTTCGGCTTGTTCGTTAATTAAACAAGTCGAACACAAACAAGTTTTTAAAGTTTAAATTATAAACGAGCTGAACATAAACAACTCTTTGTTCGCTCATTTTCGACTCATTTTAGCTCGAAATAAAAAATATATATAATTATTTATATAATAATATATTACATGTATTATTTATATAATAATATATTATATATATTGATATCTAAATTTGAAATGTAATTGCTTGTATGGTAATGTGGTTATGTGTCATCTTCTGCATATATTTGGTCTAAGTTCGAATCTAGTACTCTACATCTATTTTTTATTTTAATTTTAACGAGTCAATTTCAAACCGAACATAAACACGAATATTTAAATTGAACCAAACACGAACAATGTTCACGAGCCACTTTCGAACACTATCAATTTCGACCGAGCCGAACACAAGCCAAGCCTAAGCTCACTCAAGCTCAGCTCATTTACATCCCTACTTTGCAACTCTTCACTATTTCTAACCAATGTGGTACACGGCCGAATTGAATGCACTATTCTACCATAGTTGAATACAAATGTCCATCTCATGATCATCAATGGCAATGACACAAAAGGCTGTTCGGGATAATGACTCTAAACTTTGAAATAATATGGCCCCTTAAATAAGTAAAAAAAATAAGTAATTTGATTTGAATTTAGCATGGCTGCTTGGATTCTAATTTTGTAGACAATATTCATTAAATAAACCAGCAGAACACAGTTCTTTTAGCTCAACATTTCCAACTCCTTTTAGCTCAAATTAAATAAATAAATAAATATTTTTATTACTTTTTTATGCTGTATTTTAAAAAAAAAAATTTTAATTTTATTATTTTTAAATTGTACAAGCTAAATTTCGAGCCAAACAAGCTGCACCCAACAAACAAAATTGGAATCAAACCAAACATGAAGAACAATGAATCCAAATCAGTAGAGGCCAACTTTATGAATCACATTGTTTGTTCTTTATATTAATGCTACATTTATATTTCACCAGTCTTTTAAACATCACAATGGATATGTTTTAAAAAAGCAATAATAAAATAAAAATAAAAAGTAGAATCAGAGAAATTAGAAAGGAACCTTCTATTATATTTCCTCTAGAGTGACTTTCTCAGCCCCTCCCCAAAACATAACGGCGTTGTGTTGAAGAGTTTGATGAAGCCATAGCAAAGGTACCTACCATGATTATGACAAAATCAATGCATTATTGGATGAATCCATAAAGCATCCGCAGAACAAAAGATTTGCTTGATAAATTATAGGAAAATTTACATGCATACCACACAATTTTTATGTATTTACATATGTAACACCTAAAAGTTCCATCTATAACACTTTGGTGTCATAACCTATGCAATAAAAGGTGTATTTCACATGTAAAAAGTTAGTAATAGAGGATATTTTTTATGCATATCAAAGATATGAGCCGCATGTACGGAAAAATTAAATGTTAGGTGTTAGATATGTAAATATATAAGAATTCAGTGGTGTGTGCGTAAATGCCTTTAAAAATTATGATACCAGCTTCGAAATTATCAGTTTAGGAGGACTAACTTGAAAAAACATAATGCATACAATATACCTGCACAGATGAGAAAATGAGCAGCCTGCCTGGAAGTAGACGAATAAAAGGCAATGATAGATCAAAATTTGCAATGCAAATGAATCAGTCAGCATAGCATATAAAAAGGAACAGTAGATGACAGCATCAAAGATTTGTTTGGGATCAATTTTATTCTTTATTTTTCTTTTTCTTTTGTTTTATAAACATATTTGTTTGGCATGTTTTTTACTTCCTAAAAATAAATTAACATGTTTTTGGAAGACACTCAATAACTTTTAGGTGTTCTTAGTGTTTTTTTAAAAACAACCATACTTTAAAAACATGTTTTGATTCAAATCAAAACATAAACAAAACAACAAGAAGAAGAAGAAGAAGCCAAAACACAACAAGATAAATAAAAAATAAAAGTGATCTCAAACTACCTCAAGTGTTGCAGCAAAATCAGCAGCATAAAAGCCAAGGAAGCTTTGGGATGGGATGAAAAGTACTGACCATTATCATAACCATCATTGCCTTATCCCAACTATTTAGGGTTAACTCATAATTCCTCTACTCCATTCCTTTCATATTCCTCCATTCGTAATGCTACATGACTTGTCGACAAGATACAGAGTCAATTTTATGCATGAATTACAAGGTATGTTAGCTTTGTTATACGCATGTCCTATTCTAACTCTCACATTGCACGTGCCAAAAATAATTTAATCTATTTTTCAGTATCTTGTAATCAATTTGTGTTATTCCATCCCTTGAATATAACCGTTTGCAGTCTTACTTTCTAAATTAACATCTTCATGTTTATATTCTCATTTCTGCCCCTCAATTGGTCATTAAAACTTTTTAATCGCCCAACACACAATTTCATATCGACCTTGATCGAACTGCAAATCAGCTTCAAGTCTCCATAGTACTCTCCTATTCTGCAATGCTAGAATCGCCTCTCTATTTAACAACTTAGCTTTAAATTTTAGGTAGATTTACATAAATACCAATAAGTTCCTATGTATTTATATCTCTAATACCTAAGCTTCAATTTTTACATACATATCACCTTACGTATGCATAAAAAAATGTTTATCCCTTCTTAAAAGTTAATATGGCGGTATTTTTTATGCAATATGAGAGATTTTGATAGCATAAATGTAAAAAAACAAAATTTAGGTGTCTAAATACATAAGAATTGAGTGCCGTGTATGTAGAAGCACCTAAATTTCAATTATAAAAGTTATGCAATCATACATAATTTAATGGCTTTAACTTCTCTCAGACACATTTTCTACATAAAACTGAACCAAATCTATTATCATTGTACACAATCATATATATCTCTCAACATTTATAAGGATTTTTCATTAGTTGAATCTTTAAAATAGCCTCCACAATAAATATTTCCAACATAAAACAAAATAATGTTGTTCTTAAGCACATCAATTCTCATTGTGTAACACACCATCCTAGAACAAAAACATAAATATTGGCGATACGACTGTTCATTTGAAACTAAAAATTAATTCAAAGTTAAAGCCAACTATGCCCAGAATTAAAAACATTACAGATCATTGCATTGCAAAAGAAAAAATATTTAAGATCATAGGTGCATAATTCAATGTATAGCATATCTTCACTAACAAAAAAAATGTATAGCATACCTATACTAAAAAAAATTTACTATAATTGATGAATAATGAGAAATGAACCGAAAAATAGGCTAAACTAACTATGTCGGGTACTTTCTCTAACTTTCTAGCAACACCAGCTGTTCAGAATAAATTATTTCCAAGCTATCAAGCAAACTGAAGCGGCAGTCTCAACAAAAAATAGAGCAATATAGTTCTTCAGAGTTGAATATATATATATTTTACATATCTAACAGCAATATAGCCCGCTGCCGATGAAATTTGCATATATATATATATATATATATAATATATTAACTAGAAAGAAAGCTACATATACAATATATGGAAGGGCCCAAGCATGACACCGTGCACACACAATAACCATAAATAATTCCAAAACTAGAAAATACAAAAAAATACATTAGAGACTTAAAGAAAAAACCTAAAAGTGCCGAAATACAAAATATCAGATGGCTAGAGAGCGACACAATTTGGTTTTACCTCTGCCTCTGCCTCTAGTTCTAGGGAATGAGCAAACTAATAAGTTGGTAAGATGATTGTCATTGTCAGTAGTAATCAATGTATCATCAAATATGTTCCCGAGCTGGAGTCGGCCTCCATTCTTCTTCCTCCTCCTGAAATAGACCTGTCATTCATCATCCGAAGATTGGCTCGCCTGATCCTGGTTTAAAGTGTGCTGGGGGTGTGCGATGTGCATGTTGTTGAACATTAGAAGCAATTACAAGTTGTACCGGCTAATCTATTATTGGATCAAAGGAGCACTCTCGTGTGTCTTGGCACGTGAGTGAGGTTTATTTAATAACAGTGAATAACAGTGGGTGGTATCAGTGGTCTGTAGCTGTAGTATGACGTTCTTTGTCAGGAACTATGGTGTTGGAAATATGATCATGTTGCATCTTCTCAATAGGGATGATAGGTGGTTGATCTTTAGCGATATCCGGTCTTATATGAGAATGCAAACGATAGAAAATAGTAGAGATGTGGCCAAACATACTGCAATGAGAGCAATAAGGAGGGTGTGGTTCTATTTCAATCTTTTACCAATACCCGATGTGAGTGGTTCCAATCCTTATCTCATCTGGAGTTGGTTGAGTGATATCCCTCTCAACTAACACACAAGTCACAGAGGGTCTGGAGACACCAAACGTAGAACTATCAACCTTAAGAGACTTACCGTAAGCAGTTGCCAAGGAGTAGAGAATTTTCAAGTTGAACAGATGTAATTTTAACCCCGGAAACTTTATCCAAACTGGAATGATAAGGGACTTTGCTTTTGGATCAAAACCAATAGTCTACTTCAGAATTTTCATATAACGGTTGTCGATCTTGCTAATTTTTCGAGAAAAAATGCGAGTGTAATCAGCATCGTGAGACAATTGAATCAGTATATGTCGACAGTCAAGTAAACCAATATTTCAACTGCCCAACAACTTCATAGCATCAATTCTATTCGAATGATCTCAAGTTTTGGGTGACCATAAAGAATTTTTTCCACTAGAGCAAAACACCATGAAGATGCGAGAGTACTGGTTTCCACCTCTGTGAGAATAAGAACATGCTTCCCATTTTTTTTCCCAGTTTTTTAATGAAGGTGTGATCGCCACCACTTTCAAGAGCCTCGTAAAATGATTGTGAAACATTGCAAGATTTACATATACGAAAACCAGTCTTTGAATCTAAAAGAGGAGCACGAGTTGGAATAGAATGGCCGCCGGCAACTGCAGTGGCATAGGAATGAATAGTCGATGGTTGGAATAGAATGGCCGTCGGCAACTGCAGTGGCATAGGAATGAATAGTCGATGCCATCTCCGCCGACAAGTTGATCTGACGGGCAGGAAACAAAGACCTCGCCTGGAATAGTGAAGTGCGAAGGAGACATCGTCGGCAAACAAGGATGTCGTCTGGAAAGAACTGCGAAATCGCGTCGTCGGGAAGCTGCGAAGGAGGTGTCGTCGTGCAAGACGCAAGCCGCGACAGCAGACATCGTCGAAAACGCGGGATACGTCGTCAATTACAGAGACGACGCGAGCGAGCATCGACGACAAGTACGTCTACGAGCGAGCGTCGTCGAGAAAGCTGTGAGGAATCACTGCTGAGAATCGTCATCAGTCGAAACCCTAACAACGCCCGCTATATATATATATACATACTATCATAAAGCCAACAATTGTTTCTTCCCAAATGAAATCCTACCCTTTCATTTTTTTTTAATATGATTTTAAATCTTCATCCTTAATTTTTAAAGATGAATCTTAACCCTACATTTTATATATTTAATCAATAAATTCATAAATACACGTGAAAGGAATAGAATCATTTTTCAATATAATTGAGTTGTTCTGGTTTCCAATATAATATTGAATCATTTTTTAATAGAATTTATGTTTTATAGATGTACTGTCTTTCTATTATAAATATAAAACAATATATTATTCATAAGAAATTAATAGAATAAATTTCAATGTTCCAGCTATATGCAAAACACTATCATTACCGGGTCCCAAGCCCCGGATACGAAAAGTTGATGGTTGCATTAGGTAGTCGACAGCCAACGTAAAATTTTTTGAAAAATCATGATATAAATCCTTTAAATCGTTATGTAAATTTTAGTATTTCCCTTGGAAATGACGTTCCATATGTCTGAATACAATGAAAAATGTGAAAGAGTCACTACACCGACGTTTGTGTGTAGTATTAAATAAGCAAATGTTTCAATATTATGGACAGATGCGGGCAAAAAACTTAATCCATAAAAATAATATTATGATAGAATCTTGGAATATAGGTACTCTCGTAGATAAATTAATGGAATTAATTGACATTATGATTCATAGGAAGATAAATATTTTATGCATTCAGAAAACTAAATAGGTTGGAGAAAAGACTAAGGAGATTAATATCTTAGGTTTTAAACTTTGATATTCAGGTAGGAGTCGCACTAAAATAGTATAGATGTAATTATATATAAGAA